ATATAATATTTTAAAAATTACGTAATTGGATACTGTGTACTCGAAAGATCCAACTAAATGTATATGTTGTTGTTTTATAGTTTTTTATTGTTTTGAATTTTGCGCAAAGCTACACGAGAGCTACCTGCGTTAGCCGTCCCTAATTTAGCAGTAAAAATCAGCTGGTCAACCTCCCCTACCGCCAACTCTCGGGCTCCTACGAGTAGTGGGATTGGCCATTACATTGCAACGTCCCACGGCTGAAGGACAACAATGTTTGGTAGGACGGGGATTCGAACCCGCAACTTGCGAGTAGCGCGTGATGACCACGCGGCCATGCCAGGCTGTTTCGAACTTGTAAGAGAAATAAAAATCATTACTGTCTTTCGAGGCAAGATGGAAACAGGAATAAAGAATATTCGGATCATAAGCGCTTGCTTTGATCCTAACGTAACTTGTGTAATGTTTACATATTGTTATTCAAAGTCAAACTATATAGTAATTTTGTTAACATTGGCCAGCATAATATTCCACTGTAACTGTGACATTCGATGTTTGATTTCCACACTGGACGATCTACGTATAAAAACTATAGAAGAAAAAAACGAAGAGAAATTATTGTTTAAAATTCTACCTGTGATTTGAGTGCACAGTTCCACCACAAATCTCCAGCCCATCATCCCTGATAAATAATGACCGCTCCCGAAGTTCAAGAAATGTTTAACATGAGTAATTACGATTTTTGTTTGTTGCGTTGCTATGGAAACCCAATGTCACTGTCGTCGAGGGCCAGACATAGCCTAGTAATTAGCGTGCTTAGAAAGTGAATTAGAGGGTTCACGATTCGCGCTCCTTTGCCACAAAAACGCGCTCCGCACTTTTAAGCCCGGGAGTGCGCTATAAGAGTAATGACCAGATATGACTCAATATTCGGTCAGGCAATAGTAGCGCATGAGTTGGCAGTGGGTATTGTTGACTAGTTGCCTTTCCTTTAGTTTACCAATTCAAAAAGTAATGGTTGTTAATGTGCAAGATAGCTGTTGTTTAGGTTTGAACGAAAATTCTAGAAACAAACAATCAATAGTCTATTAGGAGTAACTTAATTCTACGACAAAGGAAACTTCGAACATTTTCTGTTTGTTTGTGCGTTAGTATTATCTGGCATCTGTGGGTGATTTTTTGTGTGCACGAAAACAGGGGAGACAAGATTCTCGGAATATGAAATTGTATTCTTCGTATTATAAATATCCAAAAAATGAAATGGAACATTTGCAACAAAATACAGGTCTTGGAACATTTGCAACAAAATACAGGTCTTGGAACATTTGCAACAAAATACAGGTCTTGGAACATTTACAACAAAATACAGGTCTTGGAACATTTGCGACAAAATACAGGTCTTGGAACATTTGCAACAAAATACAGGTCTTGGAACATTTACAACAAAATACAGGTCTTGGAACATTTGCGACAAAATACAGGATTTTCTGTGACATCGATTTAACTCGTAACGTAAAAAAGTGAGTATTTCAAAGCTCCCGGTGATTATGTTATACGTATTTTTATCTACGTGATATGCAAAAATCAAAAACAGATTAAACATGTCAAATATTCCCGCAATTAAATGTACGAAAAATATCACGTTTTCAAGTACGGAGCTCAGTACTCATACCATGAACATAATTCACATTACAAAATAAAACCAACGTGGAAAATATAATGAAGGAGTTTGGTTTGTTTTGAATTTCGCGCAAAGCTGCACGAGGGCTATCTGCGCTAGCCATCCCTAATTTAGCAGTGTAAGGCCAGAGGGAAGGTAGCTAGTCCACACCACGCACCGCTACTTGGACTACTCTTTCACCAACGAATAGTAGGATTTACCGTCACCTTATAACGCCCCCACGGTTGAAAGGGCGAGCATTTTTGGTGGGACGGGGATTCGAACCCGCGACCTTCAGATTGAGAGTCGAGCATCCTAACCACCTGGCTGAAATACAGTTTAGTTACTAAGCTTGATAAATTATAGTGGAAATATATGGTATAGATATAGTAATTTATGAATTTTTTTGGTTATTCAACTGTTTACATAAAACCTAACAAAAATTATTTTATTTCATATCCTCCAAGTGCGAAATTATAAAAGGCTTAACAACCTACATCAAACAGCAACTGAGTACAAAGGTCGGAACTAGAAGAGATAATTGTTTGCTTGTATGTTTTAAGAAAATTAAGTTTAATATCTATATACATATATAATGTACAATAATTGAAATGTTAGTGTATTTTACTAAATACTAGTCTACAGAGTAAAGTGTGATAGAGATTCGAACCCGCGACCCGCAAACTGTAAGTTGAACGCCTTAACCCTCATACTTGAATATGTACTGTGCTGGTAAAAAAAAACAAACGAGATTTTATGGTAATTAAACTTTAAACAACTGTTATACAACTATCAACTAGTAAACCAGCTAACAAATTATTTTTGCCTGAAAAAAAATTAATTGTTTGATTTTCTTTGAGCAAAGCCACATTTGGCTATCTGCTTTATCCACCGCGAGGAATCGAACCCTGTATTTTAGCGTTATACAACCGTAAACTGATAAAAGTTTCGAGCATAACTTAATTCTTTTACCAATTTTATTTTATTTATTTTTTCAAAATACAGTATCTATTTTTTAAAAAATGGATTATTCTAGATTTTAACCAATGCAAACGTGGATAAGACTCATTATAGAAATAGAGGTAGAGTCAAAGTTTTCTACCCGTGGAAATGTCAATATATCACTGCAGTTAGAGAAATTATTAGTAATGTCAACCGTGGACGTACCCTCTATCGTTGCCATGTTGAACATCGGTTTAAAGATATGATCAATCAGTGCTGTAGATGAGTTATGATGGCCAGACCACGACTATGGCTGTAATCTGCGAAACGGACTTATAAACGCTCAGCCTGGAAATTGCTTTTTTTCGAATTCCACCAGACCCACCCTCCAGAGGAAAAAAATGACCACTCTTTTATAGTCAAACTTCTAAAAAAAATCTAAATTATTTTGTTTATGGTATTTGTTACGTGGTGTTTAACTTTTTTCTTTCCAAGATAACGTTATCTTAACAAATGAATAATTATGATTTCATGGTATTTATCTAGTAAGAAATGGACAATCTGTATTCAAGTTGCAGACTAATGAGAAAAATTATTTTAAGTTAGGTAAGTATTTGTATTTATAGCCGACGTCTTTAATATTGAACTAGTGACAAAAGGAAAGGCAGCCAGTCAGCAACACCATATCACCCAACATCCACACTAAGGAATTGATTGTTACCCTTCTAACGCACCAACAGCTTATAGTACGGGGAATATGTTGCATATTCGGGGTTCTATTACAGAACCAACTATGTTAGTTAATAATCTTGGTTAATTCGAAAGTACGGCGTATTCCGCTTGTCTTCGAAATACACTCAGTCTCTCTGTCTTGTAAAGCAGTGTGTATTGATATTATATGATTTACTATATGACCTCACAGGACAAAAGTGTTCTATTTACATCACACGATCCACAATGTATTACAGATGGTATTTGTTCTAGTTGTATTAACTGTTCTATTTTCTCGAAAATTCATTAGTTCAATTTCCTTTCTCCACACCCCCTCCCTCCAGTGGCTCAGCGATACAATTCGAGGTTTGATCCCTGCGAGACAGCACAAACAGCTTCTTGTGCAGCTTTGCGCTTAACGACAAAAAAATTTTCGCCTCGTGATCTAATTGTGAACTATTTTTTCTTTCTTTTTTCCGCAATGACACCATCTGCGTTTCTTTCCCTTACTGATAAAACTGATAAAAAGCACGTTGCGTACTAGATGTACTTCCGCACGGTCCCTAAATGTGTTCTGTTTCGAGAGTAAATAAAACCAAAATTAAGAGTTACAAATACTTTTATTTCTTGCTTTTGAAGTTCATACGTCATGCTGTGTTGTAGCCTACAGATCACATAATTTGTTGTATAGGTTTGTTTGAATTTCGCGCAAAGCTACACGAGGGCTATCTGCGCTAGCCGTCCCTAATTTAGCAGTGTACGACTAGAGCTAGTCATCACCACCCACCGCCAACTCTTGGGCTACTCTTTTGCCAACGAATAGTGGGATTGACCGTCACATTATAACGCTCCCACGGCTGAAGGGACGGGGATTCGAACTCGCGAACTGCAGATTGTAAATCGAGTTCCCTAACCACCTGGCCATGCCGGGCCTTGTTGTATAGATATACCTTTAGCATCCAAATCTGAAGAGAACTTTTCGTGATTTGAAAACAAACCAATACGCGCCGCTTCTTTCTTATAATTTAAAACATATTTTAGATAATTGTATTACATATTAGCATCCCTACACTACGCTATCGCTACAGTAACTAATTTTCTTTTGAATTAATCGTTAAATGTGATGATTAATTTTTGGTAGTTTATATAATTACTTTATTTTTATTAAATGTTGAGCAAATGTGCTCCATAATTATTGTTTTCCATAATAAAAAAAAATGTAAATAGTAAAGAAATAATAATAATTCTCATAATCAGAATATGAGTGGTGTGGTTGTATATTTCTTAATTCGTAATACACTTTGATATATATATATATACCGTATTTTTCAGTGTAAAGATGCACTTTTTGACCCCAAAATTTGATGTTAAAATCTGCTTGCGTCCTATACACCGAAGGTATGAATAATACATATGTATATATACGATATATATACAAGCCATGTGTAAATATATTTAAATAGGCATGCATAGTTTAGTTCAATTGAATGTGTTATTTATAAC